GGGGGGGGGGGGGGGGTCTCTGTAACTTGTGCAGCAGAGCCAACAAAACCCAAAGCGAGCCCGACAAGCTTGGCTGTGAAAAGTATTACACAAGCATTCTGGAGACAAAACAGGACGTTATTCAGTCACTCCAATCAGTTCCAAATCCTTGGGGGGGGATGGAAAAATGATCTGGCGCAAAGTGTTCAAACGTTTCCACTCCTCGACTGTCGCTCTAGAGAGGGGTTTTTGGAGCAGAGGGAGAGTAAAACCAACCACAGCTCAAGTCCTGAGTCCTCCTGAGCAGTGGAATTTGCTCCACAGTCACAGCTCCCAGCACTCCCCACTGGCAGCGAGTCCAATTCCTTCGTGTGCAAGTCACATTGCCATTGGAAAAAAAAAAAGAAACCAACTAAGCCAAGAACCTCTGTCAGGAAACAAATTCAAGTACCTGTTGCAGATGGGGTGAGTAAGGAAGACTGAACATTAGCTAGATTAACACTGGCAGGACTGTGATGGTCAGCTGTGGCCTAAGGGACACGGCAATTCCTGACCGAGGCGCGACAGGGAAACGTCCCAAGAGTCAAATGTTATCCCATAAAATCTACAGGTACAAAATGCCTTTTTTTTTTCTTTTTTTTCCTGGTTTTCTTTTAGGAAATCTTCAGAGCTGGCCAATTGAAAGCACAATGGGTCCGAGCACATCATTAGCTGAGGTTGGTCAATGCCACTACTACTTCTCACACTGGTTGTTTTTTTTTTCTTTAGGTTCTAGGAGTTACACCTTTTTTTTAAGAGATCATCTTTGGTAGATGTTCCATTTCCCTCGTCCTTCTTGTAAATCAAGTGCAGTTACAAAAAAGTTTGTTTTTTTTTTTTTTTTGTTACTTAAATTAACCAAAAAATATAAAGTGTCCCAGTCTGAATTTACCTAAAGTTCAGCGACTCCTCCTTATCAGAGTTATAGTTTCCGTCCTTGAAATGGTGAGCTATTTTCCTTCCAATTCCTACCAAGAGGGAAATAAAAGGGATTGTATGTCTTTCTGGTAAAGACAGTCCAATAAAATAAAAATAAAAAAAAAAAAAAAAGGAGTAGTTTGTGGAATCAGGCACTGCTTCACTCCCACTGAACATGATCTAGAGCCACCCCTTTATACAGTGCCACGTCATATCCCTCTGGGATCCTCTTGATCAGAGAGGAGAAAATGTCACTAGAAAGAGCAGTGCTGAAACAATGCACTTTGCTTGGTTTAAAAAGCCCTCAAATCTTAATGTCTGGGCACTTCTGTAACATAAAATCCCACTTTTCCTCCTGGGTCAAGTGGACTGTTGGAGGGTGCACCTAGAATGAGTTTTCTCTGAAGTCACGCAGTGCCACACACTCACCTTGCACACCCACACCCACACACACACACACATCCCACACACACCCCACATGCTGCTACAGTGTCTGTTCGAGTGTCACAGGCTGCGTTCTCTGGGTGAAGGAGCCCCTCTGCTCTTCCTTCCTCGCTGAAGGCTGAAGACAACTATGCCAGGATATTGGAGATAAACTCGTTGAAGCGTTTCGAGTACTGCTCGGGGTTCACGGTGGAGATCTCTGCCCCGGCCTGCAAGGCAGAGACAGAGCAGTCAAACACCCTCCTCCAAGGGCCAGGAGGGATCATGGCAGCACTGCTCTGCTGGGAAAGACCCATAACAGTGTGCAAGCCCTAGGAGAAAGACCAGCAGGTCTAGAGAGACCCCCCATGGAAACTGCTTTTAGCTCCAGCTGCGTCTTCAGACCACGGAGACAAAGCACTGCCTTTGTTTCCTCGTGGTTTACAGGAGATTTAGAAGGAGCATAAAGAAATCATGATGGCTGGAGCTGGGCCAAGGGAGGGTTAGGCTGGATATTAGGAAAATATCTTCTTTCCCCAGAGGGTGGTTGGGCACTGACCAGGCTCCCCAGGGCAGTGGGCACGGCCCCAAGGCTGTCAGAGCTCCAGGAGGGTTTGGACAATGTCCTCAGGGACAGGGTGGGATTGTTGGGGTGTCCTGGGCAGGGCCAGGAGCTGCACTCCATGATCCTGATGGGTCCCTTCCCACTCCTTCTATATAAACTCCACATGGTGGTGGTGGTGGGTCGATGGTTGGACTCGCTGACCTCAAAGGTCTTTTCCAACCTTAACGATTCCACGATTCCATGTCCTGCTATAACCTGGGCCCTTTCCAAGCCCTTTTGGGCAGCTCAGGATTGTTGCCAGGGAACAGGAGCAGCCCCCCTGCAGCCAGTGAATTCCTGCACCTCCCAAACTGGGATGTAAATACAAATCATCCCCAAGCAGCCAGAGGGAAAACCTTTGTGGGACAGTGACGAGCGGAGAGCTGCTCCTGTGCAGAATTTCCAAACTGAGAGGAAAACCAGTGCCAGGAGACACCCCCCAAACACACACAGAGGGCCATGCAGGCAGAGCAGAAGCCCCCCAAGGCCACCCCCCTGCCTGTGCCAGGCTTACCCCATGTTTCACTGTTTTGGCAGCATGTGCAGCTTTCTTCTTCGCGTCGTAGGGCGTGAGGATGTCTATGATGGCCATGAAGTAAACTTCCTTCTTGGGGGCACCTGGCAAGGCAAGAGAGCCGCTGGCACCCCCTGAGCAAAGCCCAGCTCTGTTCCCCTCCTCCACAGACACCCAGCAGAGCTGGCAGGGAAAGCAGAAGGGCAGGGAACACCAGTGGGCCAGCACACCAGAAGCATCACTGCCGCCCGTTCCAGCTCAGCACAGCGAAGGGGAGGGGCAGTCCTGCCACTGCACCGAGCCCAGGGCACCTCCTGTGGCCACCACAGCTCCCCCACAGCCCCACCACACTCACTTTCGTGGCTTTTCATGGCGTAGACGTCGACGGAGGGGTCGAACTCGCCGGGCCCGAAGAACCGGGGGTAGTTGAGGAGGTTTCCGGGGCTGTCCGGGGGGGTCCCGTAGGAGGAGATGGGGTTTCCCCCCAGACCATCGTTCTCACACTCCTCGTCCTCTGCCCGATCCTCCACTTCCATCTCCTCCTGCTCTGCCCGGTCGACGTCGTGGATCCCAACCAGCAAACTGTAATCCATGATCTTCAGCTGAGCTAGAAACTGGGGGAGAGAGAGGAGTGAGAACGGCAGCCAGGTGGGATCAGAAATCCTCAGTCCTGCCCTGCCAGTGCCTCCCTAAGCAAGGGTGTAGAGTGAGAGCTAAACCCTTTTCAGACTCCAGAGAATCTACACACGAGCTCCCAGGCCCACTGCCCTCAGCAGGAGCCTGACTGATCCAGGAGTGACTCGCTCTGCTGCACCCCTGGAGCCAGAGGCCACAGTGAGGATCCAGCCATGGGAGGCAGAGGAAGAGCTGTCCCCCGGGAAACTACCTCCACGTCCCGCTTCAGCTTTTCAAGGAAGTTCTTTTTACTCTCTTCTCCAACGTGCAGCTTCTGACCCTCATTCAAGAAGTCGTTGTCCTTGAACGTTGGGAGATCCTTGGCCTGCAACGAAAAGCCTGTGTCAAATTCTCCAACCCTGGGGAGGGCTGGACCATGGATCCCTCAGGAATCATAACATCACAGAATCAGCTGGGTTGGAAGGGACCTCCGAGATCATCAAGTCCAACCCTTGGTCCAACCCCGCTGTGGTTCCCAGCCCATGGCACTGATGCCACATCCAGTCTCTTTTTAAAAATCTCCAGAGACAGAGAATCCACCACTTCCCTGGGCAGCCCATTCCAATGGCTGAGCACCCTCTCTGGAAAGAAATTCTTTCTAATATCCAACCTAAACCTCCCCTGGCACAGCTTCAGACCGAGCCCTCTTGTCTTGCTGATGGTTGCCTGGGAAAAGAGACCAACCCCCCCCCGGGCTCCCCCCTCCGGCCAGGGAGTTCCAGGGAGTGAGGAGGCCTCCCCTGAGCCTCCTCTTCTCCAGGCTGAGCCCCCCCAGCTCCCTCAGCCTCTCCTCACAGCACTTGTGCTCCAGTCCCTTCCCCAGCCTCGTTGCTCTCCTCTGGACCTGCTCCAGCCCCTCAATGTCCTTCCTGAGCTGAGGGCCCAGAGCTGGACCCAGCACTCCAGGGGTGGCCTCACCAGTGCTGAGTCCAGGGGAATGTGTAGGTTGAATGGACTCTGAGCTCTCTGGGGTTGCACCAGGGTCTTTTGGCTGTTTTTAAGGTGAAGTGGCTCATCCTGTCCACTAAAGATGAAAATGGCATCAGGTAGAGGACAATAATTATCAGTGAATGCTGAGAAACTCAAGGGAGACACAGAGCAACTGAGCTTTGAACACTGTTGGGAAGATGTGCTGCAGGCTGGGAGCTGGACAGCTGGGCTCCAGCCTGAGATGGTCCAACCAGCTCCCAGAACTGAAAAGAAATTCATTCTGCTGGCTTCTGACTCGGGGGAAAGGGGTGAAGGCTTGAGAAAAAAAATAAATGCTTTTTTCCCTAAAGACTTGAGTAAAAAAAACCAAACCCACTGTTTTTTGAGGAATCCACTCACAGCAGGCCCTGAGGATTTCTCAGGGATGTGGAAGAACTTAAACTCCCTTGTGCAGCTGGGAATTAAATGGTTTTGTTCTTAGAGTGACACAGGAGCTTGTGGTGGCTTCATGACCTCGTGTGAATGGTCTGAGACAAGCTGCATATGCAGAAATAGCTCCAGGCAGCAAGTTGGGGACACTTGGGCATGGTGACACCAGAGATTTTGGTGTAAAGGGTTGTTCCCTGGCTTGTGCCAGACATCCCATTTTAGGTCAGCCTGGACAAAACCTGAAAATCCTACATTCCTGTGCAAAACATGCAGAACCACCAGAGTTACTGGTGAGATTTCCACAGGAATTTCAAGGCAGCATCACAGCTGAAGCTCTGCAGAAGCAGAATGCTCAGTCCTAAGTTCCCTGACTGACACCAGAACCCAGACTTAGGACCATGCTGAGACATGGCAAGGGCCTGAGAGGAGCTGGGCTGGTTTATAAAAGCATCTGTTGGAAAATCCAACTGCTGACCTGCCTCAGTTTGGCATTCAGGGAGTTCTAGGGAGAAATCCTTCCATAAAGACACCACTGCTCTAATGTGGGGTTTGGAACTGGTGGGATTGTGCCCCAGAAAGTTCCCCCCCCACTCCTGGCAGTGCCAGGGAAGCACCAGCACCTTCTCCCCCTGAGCAGTTACTGGGCACAGCCTGAAAGGTGGGACAGAAAGAGGTCAGAACTCAGGGCCTGTTTAATATCCCCTGCTCAATACCCCTTTGGGAAAGGGAAATCAGTTGGATCCCATCTGCTTCCAACCACCAGGAGGAAAGAAAGGCTGGCCAGGGTTGCTCCATACCTTCTCTTTATCACTTGCTTCCCTGGACACTGTTGAGCCCTGGTAAAAAAAAAAAAAGATGAAGAAAACATCATTACCACACTGTGTGTCATATTCCCAACAAATTCACTGACAACATGCAGAAAAATTATGGAAGCATTTTTAAAATGAGTGCTCAACCCCCTTTCCACGATCTCCCTGGTTTAGTGTAGGTCACTTGGGATGGGGGAAATGCACCAACATTTGAGCTCCAGGTGATGCTCCACCCAAAGCCCCCAAAACCTGATCCCTGGAACAAAACCCAAAGCCCACGACCCTGCTGAGTGGGTGTTACAAAGCCCAGCTCCCAGCCCTCTGCAGGAGCTCCCAGCCCCACTGGAGCCCTCCAAAGCCTCACCTTCAGGTCATATTTCCTGTGCACAGTCAGCCTGTGGCTGAACACGTTCCTGGTGACCACCATGTAGGTCTCCACCCCGTCCACCGTGAGCCGGTACATGCCCAGGAACTGGGGCAGGAGGGTGTTCCCGTGGCACTCCACGATGAACTGCAGGACAGCAGGGGAGGGAACGGGCAGAGAAGGACAGTTCTGTCACACAGACCCCACCTCTGACACCACACAAGCTCAGCAGGATGCTGGGAGTGACCCTCCAGTTCCAGCCCCCTGACACCGATGGGAAAGGAAAGGAGGCCTGGAACGTCCCCCAGGGCCCCAAGAAAAGGAGTCAAGGCATGGAAAGAACCTCCCAGCCCTCAGCTGAGACAGGGCATCCCATTCCCTGAGCAACCTGATCCAAGGAGTGGCATCCCTGCCCGTGGCAGGGGGCTGGAACTGGATGATCTTTCGGGTCCCTTCCAAAGAAACCCATTCTGGCACTCTCTGACTGTGTGCATGCCCAGCCTGCTGTGACAGCCAGGTGTGCCCTGGCACTGCCCAACTTCCCTCCTCGTGGTTATCTCAGTGTACCTGACAGATGGGCTGGCACATAATGTGGACCAGGGCAGAACATTTCCAGCTGTCCCTCTTTGTCCCCCTTTCCCTGCTCCTCTCCAGTCCCTCTGGAAAGTCTAATGCAAAGGACAGAATTGGGAGCAGGTTTACAGGTCTCAGGTACCAGCAATCCATAATTCATTGATGTCAGGAACTGGGTGAGCTGTGAAGGGGCTCAGCAGCACGAGGAAACAGGCAGCTGGGCCACACCTGGCTCTCAGATCCCAAGGAACTCCATTTTCTCCCACAAAACCTCTGCGGGAGCTCCAACCAGCTGCGAACCTGAGCTCCGGATCCCCAGCAGGTCCCGGGGTGTTTGCAGCCCATCTCCCAGGGTTCCAGACTCACCGTACCTGGTGGTACTTCTTGAGGATGTTGTGCATCTCTGCCACGTCCTCGCTGGACACGGCCTTGATGACAAACCTCCTGTCGTAGGTGGTGAGGAAGCGGGCGCCGCAGCGGCCCTGGCTGTCGCTGTTCACGGGGGCACTGCGGGTCACCGAGTTCTGGGGGGGCAAGCACAGGGGCAGGGACTGGCAGGGGCTCTGCCACCTCCCTGGGGAAGGAAGGGCAGCCTTGGGAAGCGAGGTGGGACATGGGTGAGCGGGGCCAACTCCTGGAACAGACACTCCGGGTGTGTTCCGTTCCGTAACCGTGTGCTGGGCCCGCCTCTTAAAAACCTGGACGGTTTTAGGGCTTCCATCTGGGCCTTTTACCTGCTGACATGTTTTACTCCAACACCTGGCAGGTGTTTTTGAGGGCACTTTTTTTTACTAAAGACACAGAATACACAGAGCTCTTGGCATGTCCTCCTGGAAACGGAACAACAGTCGGGGTATCTCCGGGGTTTAAGGAAAGCCAGAACAAAACAACTGAAATGGCCTGTTGCCTTTCCCATGGCAAAGCAGCTTAAACTGGCCAAAGTGGGAATTCTTTGACAGTCATCCTGCAGCCAAAAGCCACCCTCAGCCCCTGCTATTCTTGCCATGGGACGTAAAAGATGGGAGTATAAATAGCCTGGTTGTTCTTCCGACAACCGGCAGCATCTGTCTTTATATCCCTGTCTCCACCCTTAGCAACGAGACATTGCAGCTCCCCTTCAGACTCACAGCACGACTGGAAAATCCCAGGAAAACTGCACAGCAAGGATCTGCCACGAGCCACCACACGAGCTCTTTGCTCTGCTGCCTCTCCCCAGGCAGCGGGAGCCTCATCCCTCAGTCAGAGCCACTGCTCTTCACACCTGCCGAGCCCAGCAGGTCACCTGTGTCCTGCTGGTCCCCTCCATCACTTCCAAGCTCCACCTTCCATCTCCACCCTGCCCAGTCACCAGCGTTTGCTCAGGAGCCATTTTATCAACCAAGAGCCTCCCACCAGCATTTCCCTGCCACAGGTCCAAGGAGAGAGTGCAGAGCTGTGGCTCTGAAGCACAGCAGTGCAAACACCTGGATAATTTAGCCAGATGCAGATCCAGCACCCCAGGGCTGGACAATGTGTTTCAGGATAGATTATTTTTTTTTAGGTGACAGTCACACTGCTCTCTCCTCTCCCCTGAGCTCTGGAGAGCTGGCAGCAGAGGGAGCCTGCTCAGCTGCAGGCACAGACAGAGCCTGCTGTGAAAAAGGGATTTACCGTGTCACGCTGCAAGTGAGCCGAGAGGTTTTCCTTTCAGAATGAAGCATTTAAAGCTTCTAAAACTTTAATGAAGCGGGGGGAAAAAAACTCCACCGCTGCCAACGGCTTTAGAAAGCGTCAGGAAAATAAAGGCAAAGGGAAAAATCCCCTTGTTTCTTGCTGACATTTGCAGGGGAGCCTGTGCTGCACAGTTTAATCAGGCCCTCACCTCAAAACCACAGAGCTTTTTCTTCTGGAGCTGGGAAGCAGAAATCGTGACCACACAGAGCTTTACCAAACTCAGGGCCCTTCGGTTCCCTTCCTGGCCCTCCCACCTCTGCCACACTTCAGGTGTTTAATGTTTAGTGTTCTGGCTCCATTCCCACTCAAGCCATCACATTTTACCCACCTTGAATTTAGCTCAATTAATGTTTTCTTTTTAAGAAGCTGAACTACCTCAGAGATGGGAGGAACAACCCTTCAGGACAGCAGGGGAAGTGTGAACCATGAAGCTGGCACTGAGAAGCACCAAGAGTGTCGGGCACACTCGGGGAGGGTGTGACACAGACGGGTGTGACGGGGGCACGCACGCAGGACCAGAGGGAAGGGGTTTGGTGGGATCAGCAGGAACAGCCCTGCTCCCACCTCCTCTCCCCACCAGGCAGTGCAGTGAGGAGCAGGATGCTCAGAGCAGTCCCCCACGTGCCTCCCTGGCTGGTGGATCCCAGGGATATTCCAGCGGGTGCCCCGGTCCTGGCGCCGTGCCCGATCCATCAGCGGCAGCGGGAGCCGAGGACACCGGTTTGATTCCCGGCCACCCCGGCCTGCCAAAGGCCACACTGCCACCAAAGCCTCCCTCCCTCTCTGCATGGGCTGTCCCCTTGTTTCTGAGATCCCCAGGCAGCCTCCTGCTCATCTCCTGCTCTGTGGGAGTGGCAGGGTGGCCCTGCTGCAGCAGCAGGAGCTGTGACATCCCTCTCTCTCTCTCTCTCTCCCTGGATTTAAGCCCCCAAAAAGTCTGTCCCTTCCAAGGCCTTAGGGGACGTGTCCCAGAGCAGGAGCCACCCTGATACACCCAACTCAACAACACACACACTTGTGTGTTGCTTTACAGATTCACCTGAATCTGTAAAGCAACACCAGACTCATTTTCCTTGCAGATGTTCCACGCTGGATCTCTGTCATCCTCCAGCTCCTGCCTTTCCACTGTGCCTCCTATTTCACGCCCAGGTTTAAACTCCCCAGAGCAGGGACCATCTTCTCCTTCTCCTCTTGCCCAGTGCTTGGCACAGCAAGCACTCCTGCACTGCTGTGGGCCCTTGGGTTATGGTAAAACCACTCAAACCACGATTACAAACCCAGAAAAGCTGATGATAACAATGTTTGTACCCTGCTTTCTCCACCAGTTTGGTTATTCTGTCCTAGGGAAGGGTGTCAGGAGGGCAGGGAGGGAAGAGCTGGTACCTGGTAGTCCTGATCATCGATCCCAAATCTTTCCCGGAGGTTCCGGAACACCAGTGGACAATATTCCTTAAATTTAAAGCGACTTGGCAAGTTCTCCCTGGGGCAGAAAAGATATTTGTGTGTAACAACCATCAGCTCGGTGAAATCAAACTCGATTTTTCTCCCGCTTCTCCGCCAACCCCCCTGGGATATCCCACCCCCTCCCACCTCCAAGGGCCCCACTCTGCAGGTATTTTCCCTCACTAGGGATGTCTGGATGCCTGCAAAAGCCATCTCTCCTGACTGACAGGCTGCCTGGGTGAGGATGCCTGTCCTGCAGAACAACCTCCTCTGTCACAAGCTCAGATCTGACAGGATCATTTCTCTCCCTGCCCCTCCTTTGCTGCCTCGTGCTGTGCAGTCCCACAGCTGCCCCCTGCACGCTCTGTTACTGGGGAGGATGAAGGGCTGCAGGAGAAGGGAGGTGGGTGGGCTCTGATTCCAGATCCCATCAGATCACTCGTGTGTCAAAGGAAAGGTCAACGTGCCACAAACCCGGAGCGTGGGGGGAGAAGGGGGGGAATCAGCTCCAGCCTGGCATGTTCCAGACTCAGCTTTGCTGCCAGGCTGCCCCCGAGCACAGGACAGTGGGAACACACAGCATTCCCTGTCCCTGAGAGCTGCATCTGCTCCCTGCCCTGCCCTGATCCTGCCCAGAGAGGATGGTCCTGCTTGGACACGGTGGGAGATATTTTGGCAGCTCGTTGTGGGTGAGAATCCTTTGCACCAAAACGTGGGAAACTAAAATCTACGTAGGAGAAGAGGGAAGAGCAGATACTGCACGTTGTAAGTGCCAGGGAAGGCAAACTTTCCAATCACACTCCCACTCTCCAAAGCTGATCCCTGGGAAACTCAGTGAAAACAAAGGATTAACCAGGGAGTGCTGCAGCCCTGCACTCACACAGAGCAAGGGTGGGGAACACGGCTCTGAGCACCAGCCACCACCAGGGCTCCAGAAGGGCTTCCAAAAACGGATCTTCTGGGAAAAGGAGATGGGAGTAACTCCACAGACACCCCATGGGCCAGGGGCACAGCACAGCCTGAGGGCTGTCAACAGTCTTATCCCTCAAAGGACAGAAACCAAGCCACAAAAGAGCATCTCAGTGACAGACTGATCCCTGCCATGTCCTGGTGAGGGGCCCGAAGAGGGCACAGGCTCAGGGCTTGTGTCCAGCCATGCCAGATCCTCTTGGAATTTTGGCTGGGAACAACCCAGAAGGCCTTCACCACCCCTGCTGCCCCACAGCAAAGAGCTCCCATTAGGGACCAAGAGGTTGGGAAGCACCTACTTACTTGTTGAATAGATGATTGTCCACCTTAATCTTACTGTAGGCTTTAAAGTCATCGGGCATCAACATGACAGGGACGGGGACATTGCTGAGCTCGTTGATCTGAAAGAGAAGGGAAAAGGAGACTCAAACCTCTGTTCCACTGCCCTGCAGGGACTGTCAGTGGACTTACAGGGATGCCAAACACCCCAGAGGCTGGTTTGGGAGCACTGGAACCCATCAGACTGGAGCAACTGTGGTTAAAAGCCACAGCACCCTCTCATTCCATCATGTGCCGAGTCCTCACCTCCTTCCATCCTTTCACCTTCCACTGACCATCCAAGACACAGCTGAGAACCCAGACAAACCTACAGACTGACAAACAGCAGATTTTATGTTTTCACTAAGCCCCCTTTGCCTTTATTTAGGAAATGTTGCATCAGCCAGTTTCTTAACTAGTTCTCCCTGTTACAGATCACTGATGACCCAAGTCTTGGCCGTGGATGGGCTCTGGGAGCTTTGGTGCAGCCCAGCACAGCTCCCCATGGATGCTGTTTCCATGCTTGCTGTCTCCTGTTGCTCTTATCCCACCTTCTCTGGAGGGATGAGTCACTCCACTAGATTGTTTTTGCTCCTTAGTCATGTGTGGCAGCCACAGGAACACAGGGAAGCAGAAGAATGAACGTTCAGCTACTATTGTAACAGACAGGCTTGTGCTGCAGCACCCAGCAGTGACAGCACTAATAACAATAATTAAAGAACAACAGAAATCCACCTCTGGGCTGTGTCTGGCTGCCCTGCCCCACACAAGCCCGTGCACTGACAAGGCTGTGCCAGAATCAAGAGCAGGTCAAGAGGCACCGTGTTACTGAGGGCCCTGGTGTCATCCACTCCCAGGGACTCCAGAGCACTCCCATCTCACTGAGCTGCTATAAACAGCCTGGATTTAGGAAGCGATTTCATTCCAACTCCGTTCCCATAACTACTGTGCCAAGCAGGTATTGCTGGAGAGAGAGGCAGACAACACTGGCAACAGCAGGGTTTGGCTACGAGTCAGGCCTGGGGTCTGTTCCCAACACCAAAATCTTCCGCAGGTCAAGTGACTTCCAGCACGCTTGGAAAGCTGCTGGAAAACTTCCCTGCTGTCTGGGAACAGGGGCCAAGTCATCAGGCTGAGAGGGAAGGGACTCCAGCTCTGGGATTCCCCGTTCCCTGCGTGCAACAGGACACACATCCCTGCCCAAACTGCTGCCACATCCCTGCCCAAACTGCTGCCACATCCCTGCCCAAACTGCTGCCACATCCCTGCCCGACCCCGCCAGGACCACAGGATCCGGAGACGTGCTGAGCCATTTCCATGAGGTCCCTGTTTATCACCCCCTTTTCCCCCATCACGAAAAACCAGACCAGATTTAACACACGTCAAGACTGGAGAGAAAGACACATCCACAAAAAAAAGAGATGGCTATTTTCAGAGCCAGCCATCCCACACACACCAGATAAGCGGGAAGCGAACCGGCCACGGCTCTGTTGGGAGCAGAAAAGGGGCTCTGCACAGCCCTGCCCTGTTCTCCCTTAGGGCAGCACAAAGCACTCCCATAAAACGCTCTGGGATGTATGGAAAACGCTGCACAGGGGAATGAATAAATAATGTCACCCCCCCACAGCATCAGCAACCCCCACGGAGCAGGGAGGGCAACGCCAAGGTTCAGTCCTGCACTGAGCTGCTCCCGGAGCCAGAGGCAAGGAAAGGGAGGAGGACTCCGGGTGAGGAAGGGATCTCCCAGCTCCCAGTCACTGCAGGGAGCTGTATCCCAGTCCCACGCAGCAACCTCCCCTCGGGGTGAGGAGAAAACAACTAATTCTGTACCAAGGCAGAGGCGCTGCCTCCAGCCACTAATTATTGCTGTCTCCCAGGAGGGGAAGCCCGACGGGGCGCAGCTCCCGCCACACGCCCGCTCCCAGCCCTCTGCCTGCTCCCAGCCCTCTTCCCGGCTGGGGAAGGCACAAACGAGCCGTTCTCAGCTCCTTCCCGAGCGGAGGAAGGGTGCTGACGGCTGAGAGGGAACAGCGACTCGGAGGCTGGCTCCTCCCCGGCAGAGATTCCGACACAAACGCTTCCCGGCGGCTCCGGGTGCCCTGCTTTCGGCACAAACCTCAAAGCGAGCGTGGCACTTGTTGCCGCGCTGCTGACTGGCAGAAATGGTGCACAGGGATACCTTGTGTCCCTTCAGAGGTGCTCCTGCTCCTCCCGGGATGGAACAGCCACAAAAATCTGCAT